TTCAAGGTTATAAATGTTTAAGTTGTACATTTGTCAAGGTTTTGTCTCATTCGCAGAGAAAAAAATTAGACTGCTTACTTGGATACTTGGTCATTATTATTATACGCAGGATGTCATTCCACTTATGGCTCAAGAATATGGTTTTAAGTATGAACTAGTCACCTACAAGTGGCCTACATGGTTGCACAAGCAGAAAGAAAAGCAAAGGATTATTTGGGCCTATAAAATCTTGTTCCTTGATGTTATCTTCCCCCTTTCTTTGGAAAAGGTATTGCCATTTAATATTTCGTAAGACAACTTGCTGTCTTAGTGCTTTTTCATATGCATATATATATATTTGACATCTTCAATATTTGCCAATATCTGCAGGTCATTTTTGTTGATGCAGATCAAGTTGTTAGGGCAGACATGGGAGAACTCTATGACATGGATATAAAAGGAAGACCTCTTGCATATACTCCATTTTGTGATAACAACAAGGATATGGATGGATATCGGTTTTGGAGACAAGTAGTTACCAATAATGCCCTTATCTTTTTTCTTTTCTTCAGTTTCTATATTTTTATGCATTCATGAATGAAGTTTGTCACCAATTTCATGGATCCATGTCTGTTAGGAAGAGTGTTATGGAGTAGTTTGTTAATTCATCATTGGTTACTTGCTTCTTATCTTTTTTTTTATGGGAACAGGGTTTCTGGAAAGAACATTTACGGGGAAAATCCTATCACATAAGGTCAGTTAGTGCTTATGTTGAAATTGATCATAAGTTGGACATGTTAAGTAATAATATATTTGTAGTAGTTTACTATTGTTTTCAAAAGCTTAGCCTGTGAGGAGGTGGGCCAGCATTTATTTGATGTTCTAGAACTACCCCTCACATGTGGACTTCTCCCTATGACTAGAGGGCTCAACATGGGGAATTCAACTTGTGTTGAGAATTTGCAAGTATAAGGATTTGAACCTACAATCTTTTGTTCTGAATACTTAATAAACTATTTTTAGCTAATCATGGTTTTCAAAAGCTTAAAACTATTAGGATCTGAGCCAAAAATTATTATTCTAACAAGAGGGAAAAACTTGTGGAGCTGATGTGTTTGATTTTGTGCAGTGCTTTGTATGTTGTTGATTTGAAGAAATTTCGAGAGACTGCAGCAGGAGATAATCTGAGAGTTTTCTATGAGACTCTTAGCAAGGACCCAAACAGTCTATCTAATCTGGATCAGGCAAGTGGTTAAGCTCATAATTCACAGTTCTTTTGGTTGCATGATCACGTATTTACGCTTCCAGTTATGATGTATGTGACGAGAATTAGTGTGCTTGTGCATGTCTTTGTCTGTCTGATAGTCTATTTATCTTTTCATTTTAAGGCATAATAAATTGATTTTCGAAGATGAGACAGAGACATACGGGCCCCCACTTGGGCACTGAATGTTTATATTTTAACAGTACTGTCACAAGTGGGCCCAACATGTATAATGTTTGATTAAGTAGGCAATGAAAATGATATTACGAATTTTACATTAACTTTATCTTTGTATACGTGCAATCAAAGAAAATGGATGCGTGCTTGCTGCCGTTCCAACGTAGCAGTGCATAAAACACCCAAATGCATTTACAAACTAACGACCCTAATCATCGAGTAAAGATACCCATTTCACATTTCCCTGTTTGCACTATCAGCAAGCTCCTATCTCTGTCTATCGAGGAGAAAACAAATAAGAACCCAACAATTTTACATTGGGAACACATCATTTGGAGGCTCTTTTCAGATGTACATTTCCATTATATTTTTCATTAACATTTCTAAATGTCACCATTAATGTTACAGGATCTTCCAAACTATGCTCAACATACAGTACCGATATTTTCTTTACCGCAAGAATGGCTGTGGTGTGAATCATGGTGTGGTAATGCCACAAAGTCCAAAGCAAAAACCATTGATCTTTGTAACAATCCCATGACTAAGGAACCCAAGCTTCAGGTAGATGTTTGTTCCTTTGTTTTGTGTTTTTTCCCCTACTGAGTACACACACCTTGGCCAAGTCATCATTGTACTTTTTTCTTTTCAGTGTTCTGATGTGCAATTGCTTTTCCTGAATTTTATTGAATCTTGCAGGGAGCTAGAAGAATAGTTTCTGAATGGCCAGATCTTGATTTGGAGGCGAGGCAATTCACTGCGAAAATCTTAGGTGACGAACTGGACGTCCAAGAGCCCACACCACTGCCTAATCAATCAGAGAAATCAGTGATTGGCAGTCCGGCAGAGGACCTTGAATCTAGGGCAGAGTTGTGAATGTAATATAAAATACACTATGGTTTGGTATAAGTAGAGCAATTATGCAAAAGATCTTGGGTAGCCGGTACACTTATGCATGATTTGACCTCAAGGTGACAGACAGCCTTCCAAACGGTGAAATTGTTGTATGCTAAACAAGAGATTTTGGCCAGCAAGAAGACCATGTGATACCTGAGAAGAGAGGCTTTGCAGGCTTTTCATTTTCATTTTCTATTTTTGATTAGCTGCTGAGGCTCGTTCAGGCTTATTAGCTAGTAGCCCTATATGTACTATTTTTGGCCCTGGATGTACTTTAGAAAAGAGATTATTGTTGCTATATATTAACCAAGAATACAAGAGATTTTGCGATCTTTCAATATTTTATGACAATATAAATGAAAGCCATCGTTTACAAATACTGATATATAATATATTTTCCCATTTCATTTCAAGCGACCTCAGGCCCTGAAATTCTCCTCACATTCAGATTATTTTGGGATGCAATTGTGACAGCTTAACCCTATTGACAGCTCTAGATAAATATTATTTGCTCCCATTCTTTCTTAATTTGTCGTAATCATCAAGTAACCATTTCAAAATTGCTCTGCTAAAGCTTCCAAGTCTCAATTCGTCGAAGAAAAGCCCTTCGGCCGTATCATCTCCTCCCTGGCCCCCACGACTGCGACATACTCCGCCTATGTGGTAGAAAAAGCAACTGTCTTCTGCAGTTTAGAGACCCAACTTGCCATTTGCTTAATCTTAAATTTGCCATTGTGGCAGTATTTTTCTACCATTCTATATTGCCATTTTTGCTTAATCCAAACATATCCTAATTATACTAATTAAAAAAGAACCAAATGACTAAATAGCTCTTGATATTAATTATCAATAATTTTCTAAATTTCGATCATGAATAATTCTTAAAGGTGATAAATAGAGAGTTATTGAAAAATCGAACATATTTTCACGTTATTTTCAAAAATCAAACATACGAATGAGAATAGAAATTCATTTTCATTGCCATAACTTGCATTTCCAAACGTTCTTGACAACAGATTGTACCTAATAAAATTGGTAAAATTCACATCTAATGTAACAACTCCCATAAATAGCATGTTACTCTCTCATTTTATAAGTACGACCTAGAAATTCGTTTATTGCAAAATCGAGGCAGTTCTTACAATCTGCATTAGAAAGATCTCTAGTACATTCAACTGCAGCATAAAGGGTTTTCTTATATGATACTTCTTGCTTCCCACAAGCATACAATGGTCCATACACAACTTTAGAACTTAATCGTATGAGTAGTTTACAAACTTTAATCAACAAGGGATATTCACTGCATTTGCGATTCGTCTCATAAAACGCATTATCCTTGTCGACTATATACCAAAGAATTTTGCATATGAATATTTTAAAAGGCATACTCTCATCCAAATTATAGCTCCTCGACTGAGAGGGCAAATCTTGGGAAGCTCTAAGACAACTTTGTTGAAACAACTTTGGCATGATGGTGAGTCTCTATTCTTCTGAATAGATTTCCAACATTGCGCTAGTCCATATACATAAGTATTTTGTTCTATTATAGATGTATATGTACCATTAATGAACCCATTTCGGTATCCTGAATCTGAAATTTCTTTAGATAATATTTCTGTGAGTAGAGTGTTCAAGTTTTCCTCATAATAACCATTGGCTAGAAACTCTACCTGATTGAAACAGTTATATGCCAACATACAAGGCCCGTATTCCCTTAAGGTCTCTTGGAGGAAAGCAGAAAAAGATAAAAGACACAAAAGGATCAATGGTGTTGAATAACACATGCTCAATGGATTGAACTAGGATTCAATTAAATTGTTAAAACAAAAGTGTGTGAGTGTGTATGAGATTCATGATATCATAGTTGTACTTATATGATGTGTAATGTTATCAGATAAATAGCAGTTATATAGTTTCACCATTATATATGTTTTGGCCAATTCATTCCATAAAGAGTTATGCTTGCTGTGTTTGCATATTTGAAATTGATTTTAAAACCTTTTTATTTGGAAAAATAGAACTTCAAATTCTTGAAGGGGTAAGACATTGTGCTTGGTTCTTTGAAAGCTACAACATTAAATTCTTGTAGTTTTGCATGTAGTTGCAATATGGTATAGTGGTAAAATTTTATAATTGACTATAATGACTTTGTTCTGTCTAAAATGGTGATTAAAGAGGCGGTGGTGGAAAGTATTGTACTCAAGTATGAAGAGATTTAGGTTACCTTTTTTAGGTGGAAAGTACTCCTTTTTATAGGGGGACGGTTAGATTTTTCTATTGTCCTTTTTCGATGTGGGACTAAAGACGAGTCACTGATGACATGGCATCATTTGAGTGGGTGACGGGTGGTGGCCTATCGTGTGTCCTTCCTTTTTCGGTACAACATGCGCCAGGGGAATATTCTGTGAGCTCTTCTTAGCGCTTCCACTCTCACGTGTGGGCTTCTAAGGAGAGGCACATGGGGCTACGAGCACTAGGCCTGGTCACCTTCCTTTACCCCCCACCCCTATTAGGCCTCCTCAGACGCAGGGTAAGGCTAGCGTTGATTATTTAGTTGCTGGGCCCAATTACTTCCTCAAGTAGGTTGGGCTTCTATTCCTTGAGCTCTTTTTGGCATGCCTTGTTGATATTTAGTATCAACAGAAGGTATTTTCTGAGTTTTTCAATATTTCACCATTTGACTTTGACGTCTCTACCTTAGCATAAATGGGGTTTAACAATTTCTTCCAAAACTGCCCCTCTATTCCTCTCACTCGAGAGCACTCTGTCTTCTACAGTGCAGCCCCTCTCTACTTCCTGTCTCTCAAACTTCGTCTTCTCATGCCATCACAAAGGTTCTGAAAACCCGTTCCTCTCATTCTCTCTTTGGTCTGCCTTCTCGGAGCTCCACTCAGTGCAAGAGAGGGCGCTGAGTTTCCGCAAATTTCTTTGCAAAGTAACCGAGAAAGTGGAGAAGAGCTTGCTGAAAATATTCACACAAGTCGAAAGGTTTCATATTGTGAACCCCTTTTTCATATATTTGTTGAATTTTTCGACTTTTCAATGTTACATATGATGGGTTGTTAATCCCGAATTGAATGATTGATGGGTTTTGAAAATCTGTATAAAATATTTCTTGGTCTGGGTGGAATAAGTACTGCGTTTGTGTTTTGATATTCTGAATGCATTATGTTTTGTCAATTTTATTATATTTTGTTTGTGAATGAATTATTAATTGTCGGAAGAGCCATTTGTCCAGCTGAGACGATCATAAAGGTTTATGAGGCTGTGGAGTCTCTAGCTTTAACCAAAAAGGAGACCAGAGAGTTTCTACAGAAACTTGTAATCCTTTTAGGCATAACGCTTGAAGTATTCTGTGTTTGAGGAATACTTGTGAGAAATCTATTCACCTGAAAGATGTAGTATAAGGAGCTCTAGTGTGAATAAATACTGAAAATACAATCTTTATCTGGGATAAAAAGCTCCAGTATAGGTCACCCATGAATCATTGGTTGAAGCAACCATGAATCAGAAATTTTACATTTGCCAAAATTTTTGATTGAGTCTGTAATAATAATTTCATCCCATGGTCATGTTTCTTTTATTTTATTTTATAATTTCTTATAGTTTTATGTGATTCTTTGAATGATTGATATGAGATAGTTTTGGTCCCAGTCTCGGTGAAACTGGCATAAATGGGTAATTTGTGCATTTGCAGAGAGTGAAAAACAGCAGGCTAACTGAGCAAAATGTGGAGGCAAATGGTATTTCTGCCATCAGCTCAGCTGCAAACCCTTGCCTCATCGTCAGCCTCATGGAGATCCTCATGCCTCAAACTCAGCTTTCAACCCCTCATCTCTTCACCTTCCTCTTCAATGATGCCATGTCAGAGATGCGCTGCTCTCTCCTCGTCCCACGCCACCTTCACTTCCTCTTCCAGTGCATCTGCCTTTGCTACAGGTCACGAGCACGATGACGTTGAGGCTGAGAATGAGGTTGACAACTTAACTACAGTATGATTTCTTCTTTATATTTTTTGTTGCAATTTTACAGTAAGCTTTAAGATAATGAAGTTTGCTTAGTTGTGGGCTACTTAATGATTTTGTTTCATTGTATGTTTATACACGGAGGAAGAGTACATCTGAACCGAGTGGAACTTATTGTCAAAATAATGTGCAGTTGCAACAGAAACTAAATGGGGCTCGTGCAGATGGTTCAAGGGATCCCCAGCAGAGCTCAAATCAATATAATCAGACTTACAATGGGGTTTTCTGGAGAAACACAGGCAACATGAATAACGCAGTTCAACAAGACGGAAATTTTAGTGGGCATTATCGGCAAGAAAATGGAGGGCTGCTGCAGACCACTAAACTGGATGGGAGACATTTAGGAAATGGAAGTATAGAGAATCCATATGCATCTCGGCAGGAGGGATCCAAAGAAGTCAGACAGAACCCAAATGCATTTGGTTCACAAGGCAATTTAGGGTCTCAGGGAAACCTGAATCAGAATTATATCCAACATTTTGCACAAAATCAGCAAAATTTAAATGGTTACTACACAAGGAATGACGTGATGCATCATCAGAACTCTACTTATGGACAGTATCAGCAGAACCCTAGTTGTGGACAATATCAACAAAACCCTATTTATGGACAAAATCAGCCGAATCCTAGTTATGGAAAATATCATCAAGCCCCTAGTTGTGGACAATATCAGCAAGGCCCTACTAGTTATGGGCAGCAAAGCCAACATGTTGGACAATATCAAACAAATCCGGATCCTTTTCAAAATACAATAGTGGATTCTCAAGTAGCAAGTGAGTCTAAATCTGAAAGAAAGCTTATCGAGGCTTCTGAAAGTAGCCCATATAGTGGTACTCTTGAAGAGTTGGATAAGTTTTGCAAGGAGGGCAAAGTGAAGGAGGCTGTGGAGATCTTGGGGATGCTAGAGAAGCAGGAGGTTCAGGTGGATTTGCATCTATATTTTCAGTTAATGCAGGCATGCGGGGAGGCTAAAGCTCTAGAAGAAGCAAAATTTGTTCACGAAAACATTACAAGATTACTGTCTCCCTTAAACGTGAGCACATACAACAGAATTTTGGAGATGTATTCCAAGTGTGGTTCTATGGACAGCGCATTTATGGTTTTCAACAAGATGCCAAACCGCAATTTGACATCTTGGGACATTATGATAACATGGCTTGCTAAGAATGACCTTGGGGAAGATGCCATTGATTTATTTACCGAGTTCAAGAAAGCAGGTCTGAAACCTGATGGCCAAATGTTTATTGGTGTTTTCTATGCCTGTAGTGTATTGGGAGATACTACGGAAGGACTGCTGCATTTTGAATCAATGAGCAAAGATTATGGCATTGTCCCGAGTATGGATCATTATGCGAGCGTAGTAGATATGCTAGGAAGTACAGGCTATCTGGAAGAAGCTTTGGAGTTCATTGAAAAGATGCCATTGGAACCTAATGTCGATGTTTGGAAGACCTTGATGAATCTCTGCAGAGTTCATGGGCAGTTGGAGCTCGGGGATCGGTGTGCTGAGCTTGTTGAGCAGCTAGATGCCTCCAGCTTAAATGAGCAATCAAAGGCTGGCCTTGTTCCTGTAAAAGATTCAGACCTTGTAAAGGAGAAAGAGAAGAAAAAATTAGCAGCGCAAAATCTTTTAGAAGTCAGGAGCCGAGTCCATGAATATCGAGCAGGAGATACATCTCATCCTGAGAATGATAAGATTTATGCTCAACTTAGGGGTTTAAGGGAACAAATGAAGGAGGCTGGTTACATTCCAGAGACTAGATTCGTGTTACATGACATAGATCAGGAAAGCAAGGAAGATGCTCTGCTTGCCCATAGTGAGAGACTTGCTGTTGCTTATGCCCTCCTCAGCAGCCCAGCTCGTTCACCTATTAGGGTAATCAAGAATCTTCGTGTTTGTGGTGATTGTCATAATGCATTGAAGATCATCTCAAAAATTATAGGCAGAGAACTCATCATGCGAGATGCTAAGAGATTCCACCATTTCAAAGACGGCTTGTGCTCTTGTCGAGATTATTGGTGAACAACATGAAAGTTGATTTATCTCAAGTAATATTTTTCTCTCAACTTTCTTTTTTTAGACGACAAAGTTTTTAAAAATTAAAGTACTTATAATGCAGCTATGAAAAAAATAAATATTTCTAATGATATAATGCTTTCGAAAGGGTTTTATGGCTGTTTGGAGGAAGTGGATAAGGGTTGCTTGAGTAGCTAATTTTTCAGTCTTAATTAATGGGAGACAAAGGGTAAATTTGGAGCATAGAGAGGCTTAGACAGGGAGATCCTCTATCTCCTTTCTTATTTACTTTTGTGGTAGATGGGTTGAGTAGGTTGGTGGAAAGAGCTAGGGAGTTGAATATGATAAGGGGTTTGGTAGTTGGAAGAGAAGAAGTGGAGATTTCCCACCTGCAATTGGTTCTTTGCAGCGTGCCTATCTATATTACCCTTCACTTTTTGTATTCCTGTTCGTGTGCCAAACAGAATTGAAAGTGTGATGAGGAAGTTTTTGTGGGAAGGAATTTCGGAAGGAAGAAAGATCATTTGGTTAATTGGGATTTAATATTGCAGGTAAAGGAAAAGGGGGGGTTTAGGCATTGGAAACATGATGAGGAGAATGAAGTTTCTACTTGCAAAATGGTTACGGAGGCTCCGTCAAGAGAGTGAAGGAAACATAGCTCTCAGGGTCTTACTTCTTTTAATTCAAATTGTCGACTGGGAAATGGAGAATAAGTGAGGTTTTGGGAAGAGTGTTGAGTGGGGGGAACAGATTTTTGCAACCTTTTTCCTCGTTTCCATGGTAGTCCAATTGCAAGCCTTTGTGCAGACTTTTCTTCTTTTCCATTGAGTTGGGACTTCAGTTTTCGTATACACTTGAATGATCATGAGGTGGGGGAGTTAGCAGAGCTATTGCTGTGTTAGAGATTGTTTTATTGGTGCAATCTCGGCCAGATACAAGAATATGGAAGTTGGAGTCTTTGGGAGTGTGCTCTTGTAAATCTTATGCAAAAAAATTAATATTATAACTCTTCGCTTTCCTTCTTTTTCTTTTTGTGGCTTCGTGCAATTTGGAAGGACAAAGTACCACCAAAGTTACAGGTGTTAGTTTGGATTATAGCTCATGGGAATGTGAACACTTGTGATGTGGTTCAGAGGAGACAGTATTATTGGTAGCTCTCTCCTCACTGGTGTGATGTGTGATGTGTAATAATGCTTCTCAGAGTTCAGATCACCTGTTGCCCCATTACTATGACCTTGTGGCGAAGACTGTTTAAGGAGACCAATTTGAGATAGGCGGCTCCAGCCTCTTGTTTTGCATTATTATGTGAGAGGTATAAGTTTTATGGGTGGAAAATATGGGCTTAGTGTTAGGGAGATGTGCTATCATCGTAATCTTTTGGGTGGTGTGGATGGAGAGGAATAGAAGAATTTGGAGGGAGCAAGGGACAAGAGGTGGATCTTCTATGGGGTAGAGTTCGTGTTTGGGCGTCTCTTCGGGCATCGGTATCTTCAGAGTTTAGGATACTTCTTTTCAAGCTTTGTTGTATGATTGGAATTCTGCTATACACTATTTTTTGTTGGTCTGCTGCCATGAATCTTTATTTCTTAGCTATGTTCTAGAAAGAAAAAAAAAAAAAAACCTCTCTAGCACTCTCACTCTCACTATCTCTCAGCTCCCAAATGGCAAATAGTCATTCTGTGATTTTTCAAGTCTCATTTCTTCAGTTTTTTTCCATGTACGTGTTGGTTTTTGTATTTGAATGGATACTTTATAAATGGGTTTGGACATTTTGATTTTGCCTGCAATATGTTTGATTACTTATGCAATAGTGGCTTTTTCTTCTAAAAATATTGAAAGTATAATTTTGTTTGGTTGGATATTGGTATTTCTTTTTGTCACTAAAATATTTTTTCATAGGGTTTTTTTGGGTCTGTTTTTCACAGGGTTATGTTTTACTTTCACAAGCTGAATACTTCAGGAATGGAAGTAGAATTTTTGTTTCACTGCCTTAGCAGAAATAGAAGTATATATGTAGATTCTACACATACTTAGAAGAAATAGAAGTATAAACTATGTATAAAGATGCATATGACCTGGATGATTTGGCCCTGTTGCTCTCTCCTATGGTTTTCTAGCTTTACTAGTGATTATGTTTCCTGTTCTTGATTCCACATGTTTATGAAGTGGATTTCATGGAAGCAAATTGCAATTCCCCAGACTGAGTGCTTTGATGTTATTTCAAATTTTCTTGACAGATTTTATGTACTCTATAGTATAGGAGCTAACCGCGGAACTATAAATATATCCTTTGTGTGGTAATTGGTAATGAAGCAATAGAAATTGGATATGACTCTAACTTCTCTGCTTTGCTGGTTCCATGTCTGCAGGATTGATACCAGAGCCAACCCCTGCCATAGCTGCCGCCATTAGGGAAGCTCTGAAATGACCATTTTGACATGCGTGTGGGAATTTTCTACACGGAAATCTGGCTGACCTTTCATTTAAGCAGAAGAAGATTCATATATACATACCAGCACCATTGGCTAATGCTCCTCAAGTAGTGGCCTGTGGACATGACAGCTAGTACAATGCTGCATTGGATGTACTTTGACATCAATGCATGTAAGATTTTTTTAAGTTGATAAAGGAATGATGACTAGCTGGGAATTCATTATTAGAGAGTAAATGAATTTGTTTAGATTAAGAAATAATTAGTGAAGATTAGACAATGGCAGGGATGTAGTTTCGCATAAACACGTACAGATATATCCACTAATTTATGTCATATGTTATTTTTTATTTTATTAGAGTTTGTTTTTTTGTGAGCATCATAAGAGTCGGCGACGTTGTAATGGGCGTTAAGGACTAATTAGACAAACCTTTGCCATCATGCTAATCTTTGGAGACTTTGATTTTGCTCCACCTAATATACATGGGCAATGTTGTTGATATTTTTTTATCCTCATAAATCCCTTCTTAGTGAAGTTTCTGCTGGACCTATGACTTATGGCAGTACCAGATTGAATCTACTTGGTGGGTTCAGGCAAGAGACCTAAATGGTACGGCTGATTGCAAAGTTTCTTGAAGTTGTTTTGGAAGGCTGCTTACCTCTTGCCCTGTTCCTTCCTACTATTAGAAAGATTTCGAAAGCTTCTTTTTGTGTGTGTTTGTTTCTGTTGAATCCAAGCTTATGAAACTGTTAAAGAACATGCAGAGGGAGAAGGGCACAAGATCAGTTGAACTCCTAAACAAGAAAAACAGCCCAAATGCACCACTTTTGGATTTTAATTCATAAATCTTTGCATAGAATGGCAGAAAGATAGATACCACTTCATCACCTGCGGTGTGGCATGATTTTTTGTTTTATTTTTCTATATAAGCGATATTAGAGAGATCGAACCTAAGACCTAGGATGTTCGGGGTAAATGTCCTTAACCACTTGAACTACAAGATTCTTATGTGTGGCATGATATTATCGGCCAACAGGTTGCATGTCATAATGGGGCCTTTTGCTTGCTTAGGGTTCTAATCTTTTCATTGGGCTTATTACATGATATTGAAGTGGTAAGACCTGGTTGCTCAATAACCCAATCGATTTCATTTCTTCAGGTTCAGGATATACGGTTTGGTATGAGCGACCGTTGAATATCTATGGCTGTGTCTTCTTTTCTTCTATGTTACTTGTGAGCCTTTTTTGGCTTCTTTACAAAAAAGAACAAAGCATATTGCTAAAGGAAAAAATAAAGATACACACATTTGGAGCTGTACCAACATAGCGCCCGTATCCACTGCCTCAAATTTTGATTTGCTCTCTTGGATGGGCACTCTCCCAGCTAATTCTACTTCTTATGGCCCCAACATTCTCTCTAAGGTTCTTCTCTTATGTTGGCAAATCTGGGAAGCTAAAAATAATCTTATTTTCAAAGGTGTTGTCCCCCACCCTGTATGAGTTCTCAATATGGCTGGGCAGATTGGCATGGAGTACTGGCGCCAAAATTCCAAGTGTGAGAAGGGTCCCAATACCCCTCTTCACATCAAATGGAAGTCTCCCCCTAGGGACTGGGTCAAGTTAACTTCGATGGTTCTGTTCGTAACAACTCAACTGCTTTAGGCTTTGTTATCCGTAACTTTGACGGCCATGTCTTATTGGCTGGAGCTAAGAACATTGGTGACAACACTATCTTGGTGGCTGAATGTATGTCTCTTCGAGATGGCCTGGCGTATGCTATCCATAGAGGCTGGCGCAATATTCTTGTGGAAGGGGATTCTAAGCTCATCATTGATTGTGCTAATCAGGCTGCGGATCCGCCTTGGAGTGTTTGTGCCTTAATGAAGGATATAAAGCTTCTTAGTTCCCTTTGTGATGCTCTGTCCTTTTCCCATATCTATTGTGAGGCGAATTTTTTAGCAGATGCTGTTACTGGTTTGGGTCATGGGCTGACCCCTTTCAAGTTGTAGGAGATGGGCCTGCCTTTGAACTGCTCGGTCCCTTTCTTTTTCGACCTGTTTGGGCCTGCGTGCCCTCGTGATTTTTGCTTATAATTTCCCTTTTTCACATTTAAAAAAAAAGTGTGCGATGATTTTACCCAAAAAAAAAAAAGAAAAAAAAAAGTGTGTGATGAGATAAGTCATTTTGTGCCGTTGGATTCATCTAACGGGCGATATCAAAAGAGCCTTAGAAGAAACGGGCTTAGGTAAGCTGCACGGCCTTTAGAACTACTCGTCAACTTTTAGACCCAAAAAAAAAAAAAAACGATTGTCGACTTCGTCTTCTTCTTCTTCCTCTTGTCTCGCTCTTTCTCAATTGACGAGAAGATGTGGAGGAACTCGCTGAGATTCTCGCCCAAGCTCGTAATATCCAACAACTCACTGCACCTCTCTTCCATTTCCTCCTCGGCAGCGAACGACGTCGCTCGACCGCCACTGCTCTCTCACTCTCTCTCTCAATCCCACTCTTACTCCCCCTCACCTTCACCTTCAGATTCTCTGAAGCTAGGGTTTCAGCGCCCCGATGGATTCCGAGCCCTCTCGGCGGCTACTGCTGTTGATCTCGCGTCTCGGGCCTCCAAAGCTTCGTACTGGGCTCGCCACTATGGTCGCTGCTATTGGGAGCTCTCCAAAGCTCGCCTGAGGTACACATTTACACGAAATTCTCATTCTTTTCATTTCTATTAATTTGAAAATGGCATTTCTGGGTTTTTATTTATAATTTTTTAAAACTGATTGTGAAGTTGGGTAGTGTTTGTTCTTATTGAAATTGATAATTATTCAGTCGTTTTTAATGTAGCAATAGAAGAGTACAAGAAAAAATTGCGTAATTGTATTCTATAAAACGTGTTGATTCTTTGATTGCTGTTACTGAATTTTTTATTGATGTTTTCTTACTTCTTTGATATGGTAAAAATGGTATCATTTTGGAAGAAGAGAATTATAATACTGGGGGGTGATTCTTTAGTATGTGTAATTTTTTATTAGAAACAAAATTTTATTTCAATTACACAACATTACAATTTTGGTGGACAAGTTGTCCACCTTAAACAGTAAAACAATGAAAACTAGAGTACAAAAACAATTCATTTTCTTCCACAACTAGCATACTGGTGCTTGTGAAGTTTTTGTCATTTGGATTTTGTCTTACAATTTTTTCACTTTTAATCCAGCATGCTAGTTGTTGCAACTTCTGGAACTGGATTTGTTCTTGGAAGTGGCCATGCCATTGATTTTTCTGGACTTTGTTGGACATGTGCTGGTACCATGATGGTTGCAGCATCTGCTAATTCTTTAAATCAGGTTTGCTCTTTGATGACAGCTTTTTTCACGCACACATACACACTTGTATATATATAACTTTTATATTATGGCAATGTTCACCATGTTCAGTCAAATTTTTCGTTTCTTATTTTATTTTTATAATGCAGTTTATTAGTTATTTAATTTTTGTCTATTAAGCTTCGATCTGTCAGATACAAGTAGGAATGAAGCTTAAAGCCGGGACTCTGACTATATAGATTGATTAGAACCTTTTCAAGAGGAATGAGTTCTAAAGTTTTATACTTCTTTTAGGGGTGCAGTTTATAATTTTCATTCTTTAGATTGAATATAGTCTTTGTTTCTTATCTCAGAAAAAAAAAAGAAAAAAAAGAAGTGTAAGCCTCAATAGTCACATTTAGATTTTGAGGTCATTAAGCTATTTGTTTTATTTCAAAATTGAGTTTGGTACTTGAAAAGCTAAAATGAGCCTTGGAAGAGCGCATTCTGTTATCGTTATCTTGTGTTATTCTGTTTTTCCCTATTGATAAGCAAGTGCATGAGCAATAACATTACTTTACGGTCAAGGTTTACTTTCCTATTGAGGTTTTATGTTGATGAATGTTTACATGGAATGTATATTATAGGATACAGGATTAGATAAAGCACTTCCAAATTCATTTGATTATCTTTATAATGCTTACTATATGTGCATTTTCTTATGCTGTACTCAATTATTGCTTCACGTTATTGTCTTATTTTCTCTTAATTATGTTGATAAAGAAAATAACTAGGGAGAATGGAGTGAGGGTATAAAAGGCATCTAAGATAAAGCATTAAAGGAATTCCATACTTCTGTTGAGCGATTGTAGTACTTGTTTTCCTGCCACTGGTAAACATTTTTCAGCAGTTGATGCTGAGTTGGTTTATGTTGCTTGAGTAGTTAATGGCTCATTGCCTGCAGTATCTTTACTTTTTTATTGTTAACTTTTTGGCTTGATTAGGTGTTAAATCATTAAAAATTGTTTGCTTTTAGGTGTTTGAGAAGAATAATGATGCCAAAATGAATAGAACGAAGCAAAGACCACTTCCTTCAGGACGCATTACGATACCTCATGCGGTCACCTGGGCATCTGCTGCTGGTTTAGCTGGCACTGCTTTGTTGGCAAGCCAGGTGGCCCCATGAATTAACACTTCCTTCTGTAAATGTTATATGGAAATAATATTCTGATTTCCATCACATGAAATACTTGGGGGCTAATGTTGCAACTTTTATGGCAAGGTTGTTGCAGGCTAATATGTTGGCAGCTGGACTTGCAGCTTCAAATTTAATACTTTATGCATTCGTATATACTCCGTTGAAGCAGATTCACCCAGTAAATACATGGGTTGGTGCGGTTGTTGGTGCTATTCCTCCGCTTTTAGGGTAATATGCCCCCTGATTTCTTTGAGCTACATACTTCTTTCATTAGACTTGTTGGAGGAGCTTTACTTATTGATTTGGCTATTGAAAACTTATGTTTTCAGTTAACTCATGGCAGCTGTAATGTTGGTTGTTGCAACATATTTTTGTGGCTGAAAACTGATCAATGTTCTCTGTAATCCCAACTAAGCTTTTTCTTTTTGTCTTTTGGTGAAACAATTCCCATTAAGCTTAAATAACAAACAAGTTTGATTTTCAATATTAAAAAATTCCCACTGTTCTACGCAATAGATTTATACATTTGACTGCCCATGCCCCAAGTATAGGTGAGTGGGTATAGTATGATAATTTTGGTTTTTTTTTATTTTTTTATACCTGAACCCTTATAGAGATCATTTAACAAAATACTTGATATGCAGTTAATATTTTCATTAAATGGTGGGTGGTGAAGTAGGACAAGTGGGTGGAAATAGCAACACTCTTAACTAATACAGTGCTTGACTTCTTGAAAGATTAGCTCTTGTTTTAGCATTGCTTGAAGTCTTTTGTTTCTCCTATATATCTTCTGAGCACCAGGGTGGTGCCTCTCAACTTGATTAAATTGCTTGTTTGAAGGGAAAAAAGGGAATATGTGATACTTGGGCTACAAAAGAGACCTTCTTACCTCCTTCAAATATTGAAGACCTTCTTACCTCCTCATAATGAAATAAATATGTAATTTTGATTGGAATCAATCTAACAGCATACTGAACCAGTTAACATCAATTAAATTGTTATTCAGAACCGACTATTACTGCATTCTAACTCATGATTTCTCTTTTTGGCTTTCAGTTGGGCTGCAGCTGCTGGCCAGGTTTCCCTCAATGCAATGCTTCTCCCAGCTGCTTTATACTTTTGGCAAATACCTCATTTTATGGCCCTTGCATACTTGTGCCGTAATGACTATGCCGCTGGAGGGTATGGACTTTCAGTTCTTTCATGGTCTTACTTTAAACGTTATGTCATTAGTGGAACAGATCCACCTATTGTACTGGGAAAGTGTTTCAGAACATGGGTTTTATTTCCTGCCTTTGATTTCATGACATGGGCCTTATTGTTCATGGAAATAATTAATCAATATCCAATTATGCCCGATGAGTTCAAGGCAGAAATTCCACCTAATCCTGAACAATTTTCAGAGCAAATGGTGTGAGTAATCTGTTTGTGATCCACTTTTTCCTCCTTTCAAATGATTGACAAGACATTTCAGAACGTGTGATCAAGTTATTGTCTAGATAGATAATCTACGGGGCGGGTGGGATCTTCGTATGTGTGACGGTCCACCGATTATTGATTTACTTCCCTCGGTTTGTTTGGCTCTTTCCCCTTAATCCCTTTTTATTTGTTGTATATCCAGGTTTAGGATGCTCTCCCTTGCTGATGCTTCTGGTTCGAAAACAGCCTTAGTAGCTTTAAGGAATTGTGTATACCTGATCCCTTTGGGATTCTTGGCCTATGATTGTGAGTCCAAATACTCGCAGACACAATAACTTTTGCCTTTTCTAATCTTGTTTCTATGGAAGTTTTATTTGTGTTGTAGTTTTGTAGTTTTATCTGTGCTAGTATACTTGTGAAGCTACTTGAGTATTTTTCTTCGTCTCCTTTTCAACCAATGGTCGGTCAATTTTGTTTCTTATTGAATAAAAGAATTTGTGTCCATTATTTGGGTGTCAACGTTGGTATGCATTAAATTTAAAATAACAGACTTAGATGTGATTTAAAATTTGTTAAAGCACGAAATATCTTCTTTTTTTTTAATGAAATAGGTTGTCATCTGTCTTAGTTCAAAAAATTTGCCCCATATCATGTCTGATGTGGCTGTATTCAGACTAAATTTTGAGGCTTTACCTATTTTTTGCATGTTTCCTAAGAATTTACTCTTGGAGGTGTAACAAATCTGACAAGTTATATTTGTTATTCATGGTTTTGGTTGATTTCATGTCACTGTTCCTCTTGTATATCTTGATAGACTTAATTAATTTGTGGCCCCTACCAATTACCAATTGTACAATATTGGGACAGTTGTTGATCATCTTAGTACTTCTATAAGTAGTTGATTTATTGGACATGCCATCTTGATTTCCTTTTTGGTCATAAAATGATTATGAACATCCATGAGTGAGATGTATAATCTTTGGTCACTAATTAAGCAGGAATAGTTTAAGGTTGGGGTTTACATCTAATTCCACCAATTTCATCTCTTTGTCTGCAGGGGGTATGACTTCTGGATGGTTTTGTCTTGAATCTACTCTTCTTACTCTCGCAATAACTGCAACGGCATTTTCGTTCTATCAGGACCGCACTACACATAAAGCTAGGAAGATGTTTCATGCCAGCCTTCTGTATCTTCCTGTATTCATGTCAGGGATTATGTTTCACCGTCTCTCTGATAATCAACAATGCCTTACTGAAGAGAATTCAGAGAGTAGTGTTGAGCTTTCATTGTCCTCACAAGATAGAAATGTCAACCAGAAGAATAAGTTGAGGAATTCCACAGATAGAACACAAGTGCGGCCACCTGTATCATATGCCTCTATTGCACCATTTCCATTTCTCCCGGTTCCTTCGTATGTTTCTTCGTGATCGTTGATATGTTTTTCCCTGGCTTTGTACAATGAAATGCCGAAAGCTGCCCAATAAAGGTCTTTTTGTTCCAAGTCCAATATCCATTTACCCAAGTAAACCTCTCCATGAAAGGTCGAAAGCCTGTATTTTTGTTTGTTGCAAGTCCCAAAGTCTTTTCTTGCAAATGTATTTCTTGCTTTTGAAATGTTGAGGTTTAGGAATTTGAGTTAGTAATGCATTGTTCGTTTGCAATTGCAGTATACGAATAAGGTGGCCGTCTATTCATAATTATAGAAGAGCAGTTGCTCAATCGTCAAGTATTCTTGAACATGATTGGTCTCAGCATTAACATTGATCCCGCTGATCGAAAGATATAGTTGTAGAATTTCAGAATTTCAGTTTAAACCAGCTACAACCCTTCAACTAAATGTGGACTATGTTGTCTTGGTGTTAGACACCACTGGGGATTAACTGTTCTACATCATCTTGATAGTTTTAAGTTGGTCTTTGTATTATGGCCGTAAAAGATCTCGAGAGCTGTTTCAAAACAGTTATTATGCACTCCTTACATGAGAGAAGAAGTGCATGATGACCATTTTGGAGTGCTAATCAAGATTTTCAAATGCGGTTTATGTCTCACAAGGCGAGGAACAATCCTTGAGGGGTTGTGGCATTTAACGTATTGAATTATTATAATGACAATATATGAAACAATTACACACCCAAGTAATTCAATGGAAAATTGCTTCCTCTAAAAAACAGAAAAAGTAATTCAAGCATAGTAATCAACCCTGAAATTGTTTTTATCTTTTCTTCCTCGTATGCAACTTATTTGTATTATTATCGGCATTATCATATAATCTTTTCTAATCATACAGTGTTTGTACATCGGAATTTGCAAAGATTATAATATCTGAGCTTGTAGAATAAATGGACTGATGACTGAAACTTTTGTTTTTTGGTCGATACTGATGACTGAAACTTAGAACCAAAGGGGCTCTTGATATGAGTCTTGGCTGCCCTTTAACTTCTATAATGCTCCTTATATTGAGTTCCTTGAGAAAATTTACCTTCTCTAATGCTACTTTGATACTTTTTATCACTTTTTCCTCAGATTTCTGGGCTGTGTTGAACTGTTGATTTGCATATCTTCATTTCAAGATTCTTCTGTAATTAGGTATGCTAAAGGGACGTCTCCTTTCTACCCTCTGATTGTTTAAGATCTGGCCAATGCAATGCGTGCTGTCACTTGATGCTCCGGTCATATCTCACCTTCAGCCTCCACCTATGACTTGGCCGAAGTAACATGCCCATTTGCATTCCGCATACAGGCGTAAAGGGTTTCAAGAACTATCATGCCATACGGGTCTCTTGTTCAACAATCAGACCAGCTGAAACCAGGATTTTTTTCTACTCTCTTATCTTTCATCACTTGTCTAACCTGTGCAGATCCTTCCCACTCTTTTACGTATGCAAATATGTTAGACAGCTGAACATAAGCACCAGAGTTCCCAGAATCAAGCTCAATGATTCGCTCTGCCATTTTCTTGCCAAGATCCTTGTGTTCATGAGCCACACAACCTCTTAAGACTGAAGACAATACGCTTGCATCTGCCTTAAAAGGCATCACTTCAACTAGATTCATTGCTTCCTCGAGGAAACCAGCGCGGGAGAAAAGATCAATCATGCAAGCGTAGTGTTCGATGCCTGGATCGATATGATAATCCTGTTTCATCTTATAAAACCATTTTCTTCCCTCTTCAACCAACCCACAATGGTCACAGGCAGACAAAACCCCTGTGAAAGTAATTTCATTGGGTTCCACACCAGCAAGCCTCATTTCATTGAAAAGAGCTAGTGCTTCAATTCCATGACCATTTGTAGCGTAACCAATCAACATAGAATTCCAAGCGACTTCGTTAGACTTGGCCATTCTGTCAAATAATTCTCGCCCATTTTTAACAAAACCACACTTGCAATACAAATCAACAAGCGAGTTACAAACAATTTCATTGCAATCGAGCCCGATTTTGGTAGTTCTAGCAAAGACCTGTTCACCATATTCAAGCGACGATACAGTAGCACATGAACTGAGCACACTAGCGAGGCTAAACTTGTCCATCCTCAAGTCCAGCTTATTCATCTGTCTGAAAAGATCTAACGCTTCAATCGGACAGCCATTTTGACTAAGGCCTACGATCATCGAATTCCATGATATCAAGCTTTTACTTGGCATTGCCTTGAAAATCTGTTTTGCATCTTCGACTCTGCCGCAGTTTGAATACACAGTGATCATAGAATTAAGCAAGATTGTGTCGAAGGCTTTGAGCTCACTAAACAATCTGCAAGCGTTGTTAGGACTTCCACGCTTGGAGTATGCATCAAGAATAGCACTAGCAACAATAACATTACCAATCAGCCCAACTTTGCAAGCATGTGTGTGCATTTGTTCAGCCTGTTTAAGGATGCCAGAGATACTAATGGCAGTCAAAACACTTGCAAGCGTAAATGAATTCCCGGGAACACCATTCTTCAGCATTTCACTGAATAGAACTAATGCTCCAATGTTTTCATTACTGTTAACATATCCAGAAATCAATGAATTCCATAATGCAATATCTGGATTACTTTTTGTATCGAAAACTCTTCTTGCATCGTCCATTCTACCACATTTTCCAAAACCTGAAATCAGGGCTGAGAGAGAGTAATCATCTGGTTCCTTCATCATATTGAAAACGTGGCTTGCACTATCTAAATCCCCACACTTCCCGTACAAATTAATCAACGAACTAGCCAAAACAGAGTCAAATTCCACTTCATCAATAAAAATGCGTGCATGGACTTGCTTACCACAACCAAGCGCAACCAAATCACCACAAGCTCCAATAACAGTAGCCAACACAAACTTATATTCATGTGACAATGTCAACCCGTCCGAACTCAAATCCTTGAAAAGCCTTAAAGCATCTCTAGGGCATCCCTTCTTGGAATAACCATGAATCATAGAATTCCAGACAACCCAATTTCTCCTAGGCATGTCATCAAACAAACTATGAGCAATTTCCAGCTTACCCGCTTTTGCAAACCCGGAAACAATCAAGTTCCACGTAAAATCATCCTTACGGGGCATATCCTCAAACAACTGTAAAGATTTTTCTAGGTCCCCAGATTTTGTATAACCTTCAATCAGTGTGTTCCACGAGAAACAGTTTCTTTGGGGCATATCATCAAACAACTTCAGTGCATCGGTCATGCTACCGCATTTCACATACATTTGTAGAAGACGGTTTCCAAATGTAACAGCAGAGTTTATGATACCCTTTTTGAGACAAATAAGGTGGAGCTGTTTTCCTAAGTATATTGACTGGTGGGTGTTGCACGAATGCAGTATGCGAGACAAAGAATGCACGTCCATGCTCATCGATATTTTTTAACTAATTACAATCTTGTCTATCTGTTTGGATGAAGTGTTTGGTTCAGTTCACCGCTGGGGCGAGAGGTTGGCAGCAGTTCGTACCTTAAAGTGGCTGATTGGGTTTGTGGCGAACTCTCTCTCTACTTGTGACTTTGGAATTTTTATGGTATTGGGTTGTGCAATATGGGAGGCCCGCAATTCAATTATTTGGAGTAACTCTAGAGAGAGAGTCCTGATGTTGCTGCTCAAAGTGCATGCAAAAATTATCAACATTTATGCAACCTTTGATGCCATGCCACGAAGGTGGGAGTTAATAGGAGAGGCAATTCTCAAACACACAAGATTTTATGAGGGAGCAGTGGGTATTGTGGCACGTGATTCAAGTGGGAATTTTATTGCCGGGAGAGCCAAGTGATTTGATAATATTTTCTCAGCTATACACTCTGAGGTTTTGGCAGCTAGGGAGGGTGTAGCTTTGGTAATGGAAAGGGGTATTACAAATGCTTGTTTTGAAAGTGATACGCTCCAGATCGTGACCGCGCTTAAAAATCCATTATTGGATTGATTTCAAATTGGTCTAGTGGTGGAGGACAGTAAATTTATGCTTTAACAGGTTATTGGAGTATGTTTCATTCATATTCGTCCCACAACTAATGGTTGCTCTAAACATTGGCAATTTTAGGATTTGGTTTGAAGAACCTCTTGATTTTATTATTGATGTCCTCTTTGAGGATTGTAATTTATAATTTTTATGACTTTCGCTTTAGGGGGACATGGGGTGCCCTATCAAGGGTAAGGTTCCCTCTGATTGCTATGCGGAAGGTGGGTAGGCTATTTGGTTAGTCTAATGACCGAACACTTATGTGTAGGACTGTTTTTGTGGGAAAAAGTCACTTTTGATCGTTGTAATTTGCCAATGTTTCCACTTTGGTTCATGTAGTTTTAATTTTGTAATTTAACCCCTATAGTTTGATTTTATCGTAATTCAAAAACACATCTAATGATCTAAATTTCCATCTTTCATCCAAAATACCCCTCTCCGTAAGAGAAATTTGGACGTGCCCTTAATTGCAATGAAATGCCAAAATTGAAAACCACAGTACAGGGACTAAAGTGGAAATTTCGTCAAATTACAAGGACGAAAAGTGACTTTTAACTCTCGGTAGTAAAAAAGGAAAGTTCATTATCATTTAAAATAATTAATAAATAAATAAAATATTGTAAAGTAATTGGATTAGGAACATCCATCCAAACATATATTTGGTAGAGACAGACAAGGCTGTCCAGACTCAAAAGACTCCAAGAAATGGCTTCAATTACAGGTGATCTTCAGCTTCTCAATCCATGGCGTTCCTTCTTTAATCTCGACCAGAACGGTGCGTTTCCCTGGACTCAGACCAAGACGAAGGAACATAAGCAGAAGCATAAGTTCACACTCTCTTCCAAAACGACTAGGAAAGGTGTCGTTTTGGCCTTGCCTTTCGACCTCTCCCCTCCTCCCATCGACCACGACCTCCTGGTAAGTGCCTCCCTCCGTTTCCTCTGTTTGTTTTCTCGAGAATTAGAAAAAGAAACTGAAGCAAGCACAACAAGAATGTTCAATATTTCATGACAAAATGAACGTACTGTTAGCAGGACATTGTGGCAACTGAAGGGGCAAAGGTTTCCGATGATGGGATTGTCGAAACTTTCGATAACGATGACCAATCTTTTGATGCAGCCGATAATGGTGTTGTGGTGCGTATTCATTACATTATGTCAGTTTTTGCATAGTTTGTGAAT